TAAATCCCCATTTTCTTTGAAACTCGCGTCGATGGAGGGCGATTATTACGCCTCCGGCTCGGATTAAATTCAACTTTCAAATGCGCGAGCGCTGCGAAATGGACAGTTAATAACCTATTATCCCGCAGCCAATCCAGATTCTTCTAGATTCTCGCAGAAATTCAAAAGGGGCTTCCGTGAAAGATGGCGGAAAGACGAGAGGCAACGAAGAGGATGAAATGTGCTTTGCGGTCATGGCGGGTAAGTGCGACGGTCAACCACCGTCTAACCGGCCAACTCTGAGATACGTGTCCGTACGTGAAAGGAACTTCTCCGGTAACTTCTCTAATTAAACGACCGTTCCTTTCGTGATTAGTAATGCTCCGCTAATGAACTCCCGCTGGCTACTTTCGAGTTTATTCTCAACCGAGAGGTACAGGCCTCGGCTCTGTTTTGTCCTTCGTGGCCAAAGAACAATGGCCGTACGATCAAATAATGTTTCCTTCTGTCGCTGAACTTTCTGCATAACTCGATGGTAGCTGCAAGCTCATCTCCTCCAATAAAGTCATTCAAAGTAGATGAAAACTTGGGAACTGACGACGTGGTACGTTTCAAACGACGTTTCTTTCAATTTGCTACGAACGTTTTGAACGGCTCTATAGTTAATGCACTAGCCAGATAGATTAAAAGCTTTCATTAAAAGCTCGGAAGATTCATAAGCTCCTATAAATTCTACGACCGACCTCCGTGTCTACCGTGGCACGGTAGAATCTGAAGTACGTGCGAATTTATAATACACGCGTCTCATTATACGAAACGTATTTCTAAAAGCGTTTCTCCGACGTTCCTCCGAGAAATTCGAATGTCCCCTCCCACACCACGACTGTTTCATTCCCCGGAAATCCACGGTCGGGACGATTGCATCTGTCAATCCTTGGAAACCGACGTCAATCAAGGACAATGGCAGATTCACCGGGCGGCGGAGGCTTTTCCCATTTTCTTTCTTTCGGCGGGGCACAAACACCGGGTGAATTTCCGGGATCGCGGACGGGACGGATCCTGAAATTCCTGGCACAGCGCAATAGCCCAGGCCATCGTTTATAAAAACCGGGGAACGAACGGATCCCGAGATATGCAGATATCGGCGGAATTTTCATTGTTTCCCTATTTCAGCCCAGGCGTCGAACGATTCACGCGTGCTGCACGACCGCTCGGGAAGAGAGTCTCGCGCGCGCTTACGCGACACGCCCTTTCCAACTGGCGAGGTATTCCCTGAGAAAGGTGAGATAGCGGAAGTACGTAAGGAATGCGAGACCGAAAGGAGAACGCTTAACGGGATTAGAATCGGTCGCGTGCCGAGCATATCTTCTTGGTATTACGTAATTGCGCCGTTTTTGCCCGAGACGTTGGCCGAGTGCACGCGCAGTCTCACTCACTTGGCTGTCACCATTTTTCTCGAAAGAGAAATTGCGGTACGATGCACACGATGCGAGAGAGGAGAATAAATTTTCCAGAGAATCGTGATTGTCTAGAGACTCGATATATTTTTTAGATCAGAGGTGACTAACTGGCGGCATTTACCCCTACTTTCCTAGCGCTATCCCCTCCACTGCGTACGACAGTGTCGTAGCCACAATACTCGCATTAGATAAACATGTATACATATAAATTGGTTTCTTTGCTGAAGTTAAAAGAAAATAGTTTGTATGATCAATCATGGAACAGTGAAGGAACCGACAAAGTAGCTTCTGAATGGTCTCTTTTTCTATGGAGAAGAATTTTCATGCCTTTTTATTCCCTGGCTTAGTTACTCGTGCCTAGATTGACGCTTTATCCGCCCTTTTTTTGTTTTGACAAGGAATCGTTCATCGTGTCTCAGCGAAGGTGTTACCATCTATATGCTTTTTGTTTGTTGATTTGAAAATCAATCACTAATTCGCTAACTCGTGAGTCTGTTTTGATCGTTTTTTTTTTTTTTTTTTAAGAACGATCGATATTGACCATTTGAGGTCAATTCGGATGGTTGAAAATGACTAGCCAACTCATACGAAACAGGCTCGTGGACGAAGAGACTTCGATTCTGTAATTGACTTTGTAGACTGTTATCATTTTCGAAGTATACTCCAAGTGAATCTCTGAACGATATTCTTCACGACTGTGAACAAGCTATAAATGAGCTATAAATTAATTATAAATAAGAGACGAAAGAAAGAGTTGCATTGCCATAATCTTTCGAATACCTATCATCTCGATGCATTCGAACGCGCAGTATCACGATGATGGACGATCAGTACTTGAACGATTAAAATATAATACTTGATTAGAGATGGAAAAAAATTGCTACTGCAGTGAAGAAAATATAATTTTATTCATATGTTTACGATAAATCTAGAAAATTTCTATCAAGAATAAAGAACTGGTCACTTTGATCTAAAACGGAACTCGATCGATAGAATACAGAGTAAGGAGGATTTCACTTTTCAATGACTTTCCAAATTGGAAATTGAAAGTTCGATATCAGTGACGGTAATTCACTGATGTTATTTGAAATTTGACAGCAACGAAGGGTGAATGAATCGAATACGATCGATTGACAGAGAAAACGATTGTTGTACCACTAGTCGCTTGCGAGAAGCAGGCATTGTTTAAGACATCCAACTAGTTGAAAAAAGGAAAGAAAAAAAACAACCCGCTACAAATCATCCAGTTTCATCGACTCGCGTGAATCGATCACGATAAATCGTGATCTTTCGGATCCTACGTCTAATGGCGTAACAAGCGCCATCGCGTTGATCCCTTCGCGCGCGGAAAGTAAGCCACGGACGAAGGTGTTCTGTCCCAGATCGAGAACGAAGGAACTCGAACACAAATCATCCTCTCTCGGTGACCATCTAGACAGACTACGAAGATCGGGAACAAATCGAACGGTAGGTGGCAACGAGATTTCACGGGGTCCGTGCCAAGGGGGAATCGAAGGGGTGTGTTTTATTCCGTCCAAGTTCGAGACGAAGCCCGAGGGAGAGGGGAGGAGAGCTCGGCCTGGATACGCGGATGAAATATGACGCGCGGGGAGTTGGTACGCCGCGAAGGAGCAATAAAATCTGTCCCGGGGTAACCGAACGCCTCTTGTTCCCTCGCGAACACCCTCGCGAGAAGCTTCCGCCGTGTCTCCGTTGTCGCGAGGAATGATACGCGTTGACGAGACAGAATGAAATTGCCCGTGGAGTGCGTCATGTAAATTCTCAGCCCGCTACGTCGCGATACGCAAGCCGGTTCTAGCCTGCCAGCCAAGCCAGCACGTAGCTTCTTGCGGATGAAGGCTACGTTTAAGACAAAGCGTTTCTGATGCGGATATTTAATACCACGGATATTACCAAGATTCAATTTCGCGGGTTTACAGGGAGAGATACAGGGGGCTGGATTAAATTGAATTTGTGACGAGAATAATTCGGATACGTGAAGCAAGCGGTGGCGTGCGATCGGATTGGTGACGGATTTCAGGTGGTGGTACACCTGAAATGTGTAGCTTTAAACAAGCGTTGAGATTGAACTCTCTCGGGCGGAAATTTCTATGGTAAACGAAAAAAGCGCCGAGCTTGCGTGGTAATTTTATTAACAAGACGAAATACGTAGAAATGAAATATAAAATATGTGAGGTAAAGTATATATATATATGATGGAAGAGAAGATGTGCTAATGAAATACATAAAAATAAAAGGATTGAAAATAATGTAGAACGTGTGTTGAACGATTTTCAAGTCCATTTGATATGCATGATGAAATTGAGTATTCAACACAAAGAATTATAACTACGACGCTACTTAAAATAATTACACACAGGACAATTAACGAAAACTCTGTGACACAAAGTACACCTTAGCATCTTTCCATTCTTTTGTGTCAATTCCATGCCGAACACATCGCGTCAATGTGAATTATTTATCGTCCATCGTGCTAAATAATTAACAATATCCACGGCCATACATACACCACTCTATAACCAGGCGCGACGTCAAATACTCGAGGAACAATGCACCGCGTGCCATAATACGAAGGAGGTCATCAGCGACACGTAATAAAGAGCCTCTCTCGTCGACATTGCAGATGCAAACCCTCCGCAACGAACAACGAACCCACCCGTAGTATATCATTCTCGTTTCGCGAAACTCACAATCCTGTTGTCGTTGCGCAAGTAAGGTTAACGACCTGTCGAAGTAATACCGCTTTCGTCGATCGAGCTCCCCGCTGATAAATCCAAGCGCCTTTTGTACGTATAGTACCTACAGAGAGTCTCGTTGCAGATGCGGATGATGTCCTGCGTCATGCAACATTTACGACTTAGGTTGGCTGCTGTCGGTTTTTACGACGGAGCCGCAGAGCCCTTCCATCATCCAGCCGTCGACTAAACATACGACAAGCTGTAAATTTTACAAACTTCACGAGACTGAGTAATAAAAAACCGAGCTTGCTTTCATAGATCAAATTCGTGTTCGCGTGTAGCTCTCTCGTTTCTTCGGCACATCTTCGTCTTTTACTTCGAAACGATGTATCCTTATAATATCGAACGTTTACCTTTTAATGAGTACTAAATTAACCAAGTGTTTCGAGAGTTGTCTAAAGTAAATATACTTTCTTAAGATACTGTCCAGAGTACATCTTGTAAATTTCATTCTTATCCTTGCAAATTTCGCTGTTCTTTATAGACATTGTGTTTTTGTTTTACTTCTTTTTATACAGATGTTGATTATATTTTTATTCCTTCCCTTCTATGTAAATTAATTTTCCATTAATAACAAATTACTTATTTTCAAGAAAATAAATGAAATGTACCACACTATTGAACTATGATCTAAAATCTCGGGATGACTGCTATCTCGTGAGGACAAATAACTATTATATATATAATTCCATAGAAAACGAACAAAAGGATTTCAGTATTTTCTTTCTGGCGAAAATTTCTTTTATGTTTATATTATTTTTCAATTTACTCCTCCTAATCTAATCGCTTGTGCCAATATAAAATGTATCAGACTATTGAACTACACGTAAAATTATAACAATATACTGGCTATATTGCGGAATGATTTCGGTGTTTTCTCATTTTCGGTGGCGAAAATGAACGACCGTCCAGGGAAGGAGCAGCCGCTTGCAGGCCACGGGGCCGATCCTTAAAGTTCTTCGTACAAGCCGGGGTAGCGACATTATTCCAAGCACACGCCTCATGGACACGGGCCTTAAACCGCATTCTACGCGGCACCCCGGGGTGCTTTTGTCAGATGACACGTCGGTGAATAATTCACCTGGCGCGCATACACAGTGATGACGCCGATGGACGGGAAATCGTGATACCACGACTACCCATAAAACCACCGCCTTCCTCCCTCGCTGTTTTCCAGCCTTCCGAAATTTATCTTGGCTTATTGTGTCCCCGTGTTTAGGCGTGTCGCCTAACCTGCCTACTTTCAGTTACACAGATACACCTTGCAACGTTGCCGAGATTTTTGCCTTGCACGCGCTAGGATGACCGCGAGCATTAAAATTGCACGCGAGCTTTGCGAGAATTTCAGAAACGCAGAAGTGCTGTTTCGGAAGTGCAGGATATACAGTGTGATTCGCGTAACTTGCGCATATGAAATCACTTTTAAATTATGCGTATTTATATATCTAATAAACTGACTCCTTCATCCAATAGGGATTAATTCGTTTGGTGCTCAATAATGTAAATTTTATTAACTGACATTACATAATACATTTTGTAAACAATACATTTTCAAAAAAAAAAGAAATTTTCATTGTAAATTGTACTCGATTTTGAAATTCGGATTCGTGAAGCTTCTGATGAAGAGTTCGAAGCAACATTTGTAATTGATTTGTCACGTTTACCTTTTATACTTTGTTACAGACGTATGTATTCGTTATTTCGAAATTTTGAATTTTGCGTATTGTTCAAACAATACGTGTGATTTTCCACGAGTTCGTCTAATTTCGCTTTCCGTTCATTCGTCGGGCAGGGTTACTTCGAACTTAATTACGCAAGAACGAATCCACTGTGTAACCACGAAACGAATGATCGAGAAATTCGACGACTCAAGCGGCAGAATCTTTTCCCTCGAACGCGAGGTAGCATCATGAAAATTAAATTCCGCATTCCGAATTTTAGTGAATCGCCCCTGACAAAATTACCTTGTAAAGAAACTGCATTTACAAGTCGAGCGCATATCGGGATCCCCATAACAATCCGCCTGTCGCATTCCGACCGCCGTAGTAGACCGACAAACTCATCCGAGGAACAGCTTCCACGACTCTCTCTCTCTCTTATCCGGCGCTCCTCATCAAAAATGCACGTCGACCCGGAGCGTGTTTTCCATTCTTCCCTGGGAATTTCACCAGTCCCGGGCGGTGTTATTCCACGGGAAGTCCGGAAACACAGTGCGACGCTCAAATCGCGGGGTTGGAGAGGGACTGCCGTGGATAAAACTCGAAAAGACGAATAGCTGGTGTGGAAAACCGGAAAATCGAGCCACCTGTACTCGATTCGTCGCTCGGAAGTACTGCGCTCACTTACGCACCTTGAATGTATTAAATGTCAAATATTTAATATCCACCGATTTTCGTGCTCTCGCGAGAGACACGGGGAGAACGCGGATCACGACGGAACGGAAAAGCCATCCGTCGAGTCTTTATATCGAGGTGAACGTTGCGACATTATAATCCGCCACCTTCTCGTTCGACGAGCGCCGAAAAGGGGAGAGAAACGTCGATCGTTTCAAAAGAGACGAAATGACGCAGTATCTGAGTTCGTCTGACGGATCGAGAATCGAGCAAGCGTGAATAGCGTGGTTCGATCGTTTATGAACGAAAATAGGCGTCCGTGAACCGTTCTCTCGGATAATGGAATTTGAGATCGTAGGTCAGGATCAAGAGGGAGGGCAGAGTGTCGATCAAGAGAAAATATTATTTAGGTTAGAAATTTGTGTGCTGATTTTTATGTAAATTTCTTGAGTGATATAGTTGAAAAAGTGGAGAGCCTCGATATAATATTATTGGAAATATTAAAGTTGGAATATTTTATGTACTTTTTTGTACTCTTTTATACTATATAAAAATCTGTGGTCTGGTTACATCGTTATTGTACTTACTATAGCTTGCTGGCTATGAAAGTTTCCAATTCAACGCAAGCACTTGAACGTATTTAAAAGCATTGAAATTTCGGAGGTATAATAAAATATTGTTGCATTTGTTTCAACTATATAGAAAACTTTCAATATTTTTAAATATTTACGTTTGATCGAAAATCAGGTCCAGATATACATTAAATCAATTAATTGGATCAATGATTACATTAAATCAATTGATGAATAATACCAATTAATCAGGTCCAAAATATATATTAAATTTTGTATCGCTTACAATTAGTAATACTACGGTACAAATATAATACGATACAGTAATTCGACGTACGATCGCATTGAATTTGTTCGAAGGGACAACTGTTGGCGCAAAGTTGCGAAATGTTGCAATGGAACTGTGAACCGAGAACGGAGAACAGAAAAAAGAGAGAGAGAGATTAAGATTTGTTCCCGCGCGGAGAAGTTCGAAGCATCGACCGAGATCGACGAGAGATGTCGAGAATGTCAGGAAACAAGTCGAAGCGTCGAATTGTCAAGGGCGAAACGTTTCGATGAAACGATGGACTTTCAAGGTGCCAAAGACGTTGAAAGTGAGGCCGTTCGAAGTGTTTCGAGAATAGAAACGAGCGTCCCGATCGCCGTCAGTTTTCTACCCGGGACGCGGATTAAAAGCAGAAATCCCCCAAGGAACATCCCTCTTAATGCCTCAATTTAATCTTCTTAATTAACCGACTTTTCGTTTGGGTATTTCACTGAGGAAACGACAACCCGACTCCGACGACGCGGCAATGCTTTATCGAGACGTTATCGTTCAGAAGTTGCCTCTACCTTTGAACCGATATAATTGGTTATTAGATGCCGACCGAGGATATCGATCAGGGGCCGGAACGTCGCGACCACACGACGAGAGAGGCAATTATCTAAGTGGCAGTTCCCTTTAAAGATCATCGGTCGCGTATTCGTGTCCGTGCCTCGCGTCACTGATCGATGAGCGAACCGTTCAACCGGCAACCACCGCCAAAAGGAATCTATTAAATTCCACCTTCAATTATATCCATCGCGGTCTGTGCCCCTTATCTCGTTCGGCTGATAGGTATGTTCTCTATTATAGAAACGAATCTCGTGATCGATTCTCCTCGAAAGCTGCGCTATTGCTGTAATAGAAAACGAGAAAAATTGTTTCTCATGGGCAACTAATTTGAGACCTTATTCCGCGCGAATGTGAAAATTAGGAGAGAATTGGGAGAATTCGTTAATTAAACTTCTATGATCCCCTTGCATCATCCAGCGGCAACGTCAACTTCCATCGATCATCGATCACTTACCGACGTCGGAGCTGCGACGATCCATCGTTCAACAAATTTAGCCCAGCCGTTTCCAATCGAATTACTTACAACAGGCAGTGAAATCCACCGGCGGTAGATTTCAATAGAACGAAACACGAAAAGAAAACACGACATTTCCACAAGAAAAGCACTGTTCACGAAAAAACAATTCGAAGGGTGATTCTATCGAGAGACGATACTTCAAATTGGCGAATGCGTCGTTTAACATCAGGTTAGGATCTATACAGCCAGGATCGCGCTATCGCTAGAAAAATGAATTTATATTCCTGGCAATGTCGACACCTGCAGAGTAGCCGCTCTCCTCCGCTCTGTTCTTTTCTCTCCTTCATTTGTCTCGTGCCGGAGAGTGGGCGGAGCAGTTTGATAAATGCGAAGCCTGAAACTCATCCTACCGATTGCGTCTCGCGTGCGACGAAACAGCAGCCGGATCGTTTTGTTCCCGTCGGTGCGCGTTTCGGGGACTTGATGGACAGAAAAAAGAAAACGAGAAAGGAGAAGAAGGAACGGTGCTATGAGGGGCAGACGGACAGAGAAATTCTGGGACCGGGACGCGATAAACGACTCTCCAACAGAGAGGTGAAACTTGGGAATATAAATGGAGCTCCCAATGTTGTTGTTCCCCGGGCTATAAGTGTTCGGAATGAAATTACTTGCAATTACGACAGGACTCCCTCAAATCAATACTAATTTCTGCATATGTTACACTAACGATACTACACTGAATACGTTGCACTAATTTTATTACGCGATCCGCAGTTGAAAGGATTTTTTAATATTTCTCTCTTTCAATCTATTCAAATACGTACGCGTGTATACATTGTTAATGAATCAAGCGTGTAATAACGCGCGGAGGATAAACTCGGTGAAATAATTATAAATATTGCTCTACATAATGGCACGTAGCGACGCGTAACATATTAAATTGCTCTATACTAACATCGTTACGAGGCTTGGGTTAAATTGAAATGTCTAATGAAAGACTAATGTGTCGAATCTAAAATATTAAAAACATTTCTCCAGTCTAGCCAGTTAAATTTGCCTACTTGCCAAGTAATTTGATTTGTGTAACTTAATTTAATTTAATTAAATTAACCATTCTAAATTAATCTATGGGTTCTATGATTCTATGATCTGACTCAGCTAATCAAACTGTAATCTCACGTACGCTGTATGATCCGGTTAGGTAACTGTGGCCACCGGATATTCTAAGTATATATTTTCACGATTCCTATCGATCATGGGAATTCCAGTGCTTCTAGGTGGTCCGATCGCAGTGAGTTCCATTGCTTTCGAGTCGGGCCGATTAGTGGACACACACACGAGTGTACTGCAGTTTGTACCAACTACCGCAACTCCACTGTAATATCCTGCGACATTGTGTGCCATCCGAGTTACGTTTCCATGGCCAGCATTCAATTTGCTATTACGCGATCGCACTCCCGCCTTCGGTATCGAAATCTTCCAGTTCATGCTTGCTTTTCGAATGTTGAAATAAATTTTTAAATCGAATCGTTTCTAGGATGGAGGTGAATTTATCAAATCGAGAATTATCTTGCCCCACAGATTGAGCGGATGACTGATAGTAAATTGTACACTAAACGAAAGTTGACTTTCGCTCATAAAATATTACGAACTACCTTTTCCATAAATGCAGACTTTAAATAAAAAGTTAACTTTCTACGAGCGTAGATGACTAAGAATAAACTGTACGTTAAACGAAAGTCAACTTTCGATCATCGACATTACGAATTATGTTTTCTACAGACACAGATAGCTAAGAATGAAAGAACTCCAACAGGCTTTAGCAGTATAACTAAGAGTAAATTGTATACTAAACGAAAGTTATCCAAATCATGAATTACTTTTTCTATAAATAAAAATAACTTCGAAAGAGAAGTTGAGTCGATGAACTATCTTTCCCTCCAGACAACTGAGAATAAACTGAATACAATGTACGAAAGTTAACTTTCAATCATCGAAATTACGAAATTATCTTCTCTATGGACGTAGACAGTTGAGAACAAACTGACTGCGTGCTCCGAATTAAACTTAACTTTCTATTGTTAAACTAGTGAATTATCCTTTCGACGGGCCAAGAGAGTACGCTAAGTTTCCCATTTACGCGGGATTACCGAACTTCAAAATCACGCCCAAAAAGCGTGCGCGAGAAGTTCCGCTAGTCAGTGAAATTTCCGCGTGTTCCACTTAACAGAATCATCGCCCTGTACGCGCGATAGTTATTTTCACATATCAGGAGTCGATAGGTCTCCTGCAGTTAGAATCTCCGAAAATGATGGCCGTGACATACGCCGAACGAGACATACTCCAACTTCAATTTCTGCGACGTTGAAACTCGCCGGAAGTTTGAACGAGGGCTTTCCCGAAGGCTGAAGCTCACGCGGAGCTCTCACGAGGCGCGAGCTTTCAACTCGTTCCCGGCGAAATTGCCGTTCTATTGCCGTCCCATTCGGCCCGGGGGTTGCAGGAACTGACGTCTTACTCGCTTGGAAAAGTTTAGCGAGTCATTGAAAAACACTTCTAGCCCTTCGATGAAATTCCGCTTCGGTTATTAAGAAACATACGCCCGGTGAGGGCTGCAGGCTGGCGAAATAAAACGACGCGAGACTGTGCAGGAACTGGAAATTCAAGAAAGCTGCAAGTTTCTTCGAAATTT